TACATAGAATAGTGCATCTGTTTTTGATTTCGATGAACGGTGTTGCCATGGTTACTAAAAATAGAATTTTCTGTGAAATTCCTTTAAAACGCTACTTCTTCCACAGTTTTGGTCTGATTTCAATATAACTTGGCACACAAGTAGACTACACTAAGATACATAAAATAGTGCATCGGTTTTTGATTTCGATGAACGGTGTTGCCATGGTTACTAAAAATAGAATTTTCTGTGAAATTCCTTTAAAACGCTACTCCTTCTACAGTTTTGGTCTGATTTCAATATAACTTGGCACACAAGTAGGCTACACTAAGATACATAAAATAGTGCATCGGTTTTTTAATTTCGATGAACGATGATGCCATGGTTACTATAAATAGAATTTTCTGTGAAATTCCTTAAAAACGCTACTCCTTCTACAGTTTTGGTCTGATTTCAATATAACTTGGCACACAAGTAGACTATACTAAGATACATAGAATAGTGCATCGGTTTCTAATTTCGATGAAGGATGTTGCCATGGTTACTAAAAATAGAATTTTCTGTGAAATTCTTTAAAAACGCTATTCCTTCTACAGTTTTGGTCTGATTTCAGTATAACTTGGCACACAAGTAGACTACCCTAAGATACATAGAATAGTGCATCGGTTTCTAATTTCGATGAACGGTGTTGCCATGGTTACTAAAAATAGAATTTTCTGTGAAATTCCTTTAAAACGCTACTCCTTCTACAGTTCTAGTTTGATTTCAAAATAAGTTGGCACACAAGTAGACTACACAAAGATACATAAAATAGTGCAATGGTTTTTGATAAGTACATACCAGTAGAGCTACAGTCTCGACAGAGACTTCTGGTTTTCCCAATATTTTGCAATTGACATTGAAGAATTATTTTTACATGATTACATGTATTCACAAGACATCAAGGTACCTTACCAGGCATTTGTGTTAGATACCAGAGGTTGGCATTGCTTATATACCGGGGTAATCCGTCAGGAAATAAATACTTCAGTTGGTTTGTCAAAATTACATTTTTAGTGTTTCAAGTTTTTAAATACAAGTTTAGAAAGTGATAAAGATTTTGTTTTAATATGAATTAATATATTAATATAAACTGGTCAGATAAGAATCATTCATCGAATTGGCTGGGGGTTGAGTATTATCATACTAGTATTTTACTATTAATAGTGAATATTGGTTTTTTTTTTATTTATTAAATAATTATTTTTATTATTGGGAGTGGGTGCGTTGCTTTTCATTTTTTCCTTGAGAAGCCCCCCCCCCCCCTTGAAAAAGTCACTATGGTCGGCCTGTGTAATTAGGGACACCTGTCCTCACGTGCCATTTCAGGTGGAGACACGTGCCGCGAAGACACCTGTCACTGTGTAGTTTTTGTATATTCTATGTGAATTGAGACGGTTTTGTACCTAAAGGGAACAATGGGCTGTTGTCGAGCATGTACACACACAGTCTCCGACGGAAAATTCTTTTAAATTAAGATGATGATTCGTGTTTCTTTTATCATTTAAAGAATTGTATATTCCATAAATAAAGTTATACAAGAGAACATATTTATAAAATAACCTACATTTAAGAAGTTCAATGAAAGAACAAACTATTTAGAATTTTTATTTCAATTTTCATTACTGATTTAAAATAAAACTATCCTCTTTAGAAATTAATTAATTTTCTATAGGTACTGAATAGATCTTAATTCTCGTCGTGTATAATTATATTAAATCAGAATGACGTTAATAGATCAATGTGAAATCAAAACTGTATTTAATATTGTTGATGGTTTTTTGTGTGAGATTTGTAATCTAACGTACTACAAAGACATTTATTAGATAAATGTTTATAATATAATTCATCACATAAAACGTTTTTTCTTTCCCCTTTTTTGTTTAAATATGTACGCAGATTCCCGTGTAGTAAACGCCTGCACTTTTCGCATGAAATTACAATGTAGGGTCCTAAATGTACATACATTATATTTAACAAACTTTAAAATTTTCAGCCATTTTTTTTTTCTCCAAAGGCCATTGCTCTAGATAAAGAAAAGTCTATAATATTTTGCATGATTTTGTTTTCCTTAAGAACAATGGCTTTTAAAGTAGTTCATGTTAAGGCAATCTATTAAAAGAATTAATTGTATAATTAATCCATTGTATAATTGTCACGATTGTATTTTTGTGCAGTTTTTGTTGATTTCATTCTATAAAGGTATGAAGTTTGTCAATACTTCAACAAACATTTCTTTATCTATGTTGTACACTACTTTATTTCTATTCGCCGACATGCTACTCTTTTTAAAAAAAAAACTTGCGTGACTAATAGACTCGATCTTCAGGCCTGTAGGAAAGTAATTTCCGTTAGAGTAATAAACTAACCGGGGTTTTATTTTTACTAGCATACCTTACCAGATTTCTTAACGAAAAAAAAAAATTAAAGAAATACAGGGCGGGACCAGCTAAAGCTGTATGCATAAGTACAGCCCTGCACATCAACGAGTATAGATGACTTTCGACATAATCTTTCCCATGACTTCACTTATGCCAATCACGACTAAAATACTGAATTAAAATACTGTTATATTTTCCTGCCTTTGATAAGATGTTAGTTTTGTTCCACCTAGAGATATAACTCTCCTAAGAAAAAGGTTTTCAACATTCTGATACATTTAACAATTTTACGTGTTAAAATGATGTGGGAATTTTTTTTGAGCTAAAGGCGAAGGAGTTTAAAGTACAATGTACATGTAGCAATTAGAGAAAAGTCTAGCAGGTCCACCAGTTATATTGATAGCAGGCTCAAAATGTAATTAAACCCCGAAAAGGAGGGAGTTCAATTAGTAATTTAATCCCCCCCCCAAAAAAAACACAACAATTTATTAGCAATGAAGTATTAATCACCGAACTTTTCAATCATCACTATTGAAATAAAAAAAAAATGTTCTTGATAATCATATTACAGTGGACCTTCAGATATCCGGACACCAGATATCCGGATGCTTCAGTATCCGGACGATTTTTCATCGGAACGGAATTTTTTAATGTTATTTTGTCTTGTTTAACCGGTGATTCAGGTATCCGGATGCTTCACATATCCAGAAAAATTGACTGGGAACCAAAGCGTCCGGATAAATGAGGCTCCACTGTATAATTGTAGCTCATTTTCATGCCTTTTAGGATTCCTGTGGAAAGTTCACAATAAAAAAAATGTGCTTTTAAAAATTTAACATCTTTTGGTGTGACATTTTAAATTCATAATCATACATGTAACAGTTAAAAGAAGCGGGGAGGGGGGGGGGGGGAGGGATTACTTTCAACAAGGACGGCCACTACCAACAACCAAGCCCTGAAACCCATATCCCGAAGGCAAATAAGTTGAGGTGTCAAGCAAGAAACATTTTTTTTCTGCTCTTGCCTCATGTATTTAACCGTTTTTTTTTCTAAATATATACTAGGCCTACACATCATATCGGCAAAAATATTTAGGAGCCCCTCTTTTTATTCCATGAAAAGGGGAAAACTTAATTAAATTCTAATATTTGATCTCATAATCACATTTAATCATAGTGAATGTAAACAGTTAATATTTCCCATCCTGCGTCGCTCTGTAGGCGCTTTATTTCATTGGTCAATTTCCCGAGGCGCCATTTTTCAGTCTAGACGAACTCCAAAAACGGCGTTAACGGAAGTGAGAATTTCAGTCCAGAAAAGACTCCAAAAAACGAGTCCAACGCATGCGCAGTTATATAAAAAACGGTGAAAAATCGTGAAAAGTGGGCTCTTATAAAAAGTGTTTTTGCAAAAAATTGGCTTACCTTACAATAATGTAAGTTCTCAGAAATGATTAATAATAAATGGTTTTAGAGAACGTATTTGTTAGAATTTTGATTTCATGTGCAAATAGTTTTTAATTTCAAGTCAAAGTTGACCAACTTCGAGGTTCAGCCAGACATCGTACAAGTAGGATACAAAATACAAATTAAACGGTCGTAATCTTATGAAAACATCTCTGTGGTTGATAATTTGTTTGTAGTGACTAAGTTAGTCATTTTAGAACTTCTTTTACTGATTTTAGGAGTTTATTTTGTAAGCAAGGAACGCTGGCGAATTTTCAGTTCGAATTTCCTCTGTTTTTCATGTCTATCGTGTACGAGTGAATTTCAGCATGTTTAGATCAGCAATGAGCAACTGCATTGTAAATACATCTTACCAATAATAAACATGATTACATGTAAAAAAGTACTGAATTGATGGGTTTAATCATAAATAAGAGTCGATCAGGTGACAGTTACATGAGAATCCATTCAGTTTCCACATTTCATCCGAGGCTTTTTTGAAGAAAGTTCACGTTTTAAGTTAGATCAAATACAAAGAAAAATAAACGCTTGGGAATTAAATATATATAATAAAAGGGAAGAATATGTAAAATTGAACAATGTAATATATATGTTGTAACTGTTAAACATTGACCGAATTTTTTTTACCTATTTGTAATATTATTTCGTCATATAATCCTGAATATTGAGAGCGTTAGTTATCACTATCGCTATATACCTAATGTTTTCACATATGAATAGTTATAATCATGAAAACATTTTTAGAATTATAATTTATGATTTATGAGTTTAAGAACTTAAAAAAATCATTCTTTTAAAATTACGGTTAAAAAGTCTTCTCAAATCGAACCTGTTAATATCTCTTCTCCGCCGCCAATATTGTGCGTTTTTCATAAAAAAAAAACGATATATAAGTGTTTTAGAAGTAAAATTTTAGCATCTTTATAGTAGGAATGGCATAAAATTTAAATAAAGGGGACAATAAAGTTAGAAAATTATTTCTTACCGACTTTATTGAATCCCGGTGTCGTTCATATATCCCAAATCACTATTATGCAAGAATACAGAGTGATAAATAAGTCAATAATCACTTAATAATTTAATGGGTACAATTATTTATTCAACTAAAATTGAAATCCAGTAAAAATTCACTAAATACAGCCATTATTCAGTCGTATTTGTGGAGAAAGCGAACGACAATCCATCGTTTGTTTACATCGGAAGCCATTTTGCCGCAATGCATGACGGAGCCAAAGACTTCTTTTTTGGAGTTCACGCCGTTTTTGGAGTTCGTCTAGACTGTTTTTGGAGGATCGAGAAGGACGAAGAAGAAGGTGTAAGCAGCTAGTAAATGTGAAAAGTTAAGATGGTTTCACCACCCAGTGTCTTTAAGACTGTGATAAATGCAATGGCCAACGATGAAGGATTAGTGTACGAATATTTTTGTTAACTTTTTACGGTAAATAGTTGTAATATTTGGCAACAACAAATCTTCACTATCGGAGGCAACTTTTGTTCTGACGCCATTTTGAAAAGTTGGATACCTAAGTTTTAAATTGTTAAGTGTATATATTGCAGAGAGAAAGAGAGAGAGAGAGAGAAATTTAAGACAGTGATACAGCATAACTTAGATTATGGAGGCCCCAAAGGCACCGTGCATGTGCATGCTGTATGTTGTAAAATGGCAACGTTTCGCCTTTTATCATGTTTATTAAAACGTATGCTCCATATGTATGTTCTCTCTCTATATATAAATGAATACTTTTCGGAATTAAAAAAAAATATTTTTAACCCCGCTCAAATTATCCGGATGATAATAGTTACACCGAGCATGGTTTCGTAGTTAAATTCAGACTGTAGAACATCCGGTTTGAATACATGTGTTTTCTGACTTTTCGGATAGCCAACTCTTGTTTTTTTGGAACTTACGACTTATGGCAAGGTATAAATTAAATATTTTTGGTTCAAAACTTTGATAAAAGCATCGATATTTTTACAAAAAGTGTCTTCAATCTCAGCTTATCCGATTATTCATGAATGATATCCTCATCAGAACAGTTGGAATAGATTGTAGTCAATACTGTAGCACAACCCTTAATCATATGCATGACGATGATATGGAGGAAAAATATACATAAAAAGTGAATGTAGGTGAAAGCCTGTCCACTTTTCTGAAGAGATTAGGTTTGTTTTATTGTTTATTGAAATAGTTTACTGCTCAAAAGATTTTTTTTTGTAATGTCTAACCTGTTGAGATGAAGATGTAAAAAAAAGAAAAGCCTGATAGTGAATTAATATTGATAGTATGTCAAGAAATGCAAATGAATCATCAGCTTGAATTATGAGTTTTTTCTGATTTTCACAATTATTGACCTGAGTAGGTCAGTGTATAGCAAATAATAGATACTCTTTTCCATATCACATCCTAGCCCGAGACACCAATATCAGCCAGAGGGACAGAGGCCCTAGGGCTGATATTGGTGGAAGGTCTGATACAGGATGTGATGTGGAAAAGGGTATGTTTCATTATGTTTATTACAAACTTGGTAATGAAATACAGAACACTTCAAGTTAAGAAGATCAAGAAAATAAGTAAATAATCATGCACAATAAAACTACTTACATACATGTACACGGTATTGTCTTACTGAACAGATTTAGCTGTCATTAGGTCAAAATTGCAAATAATAACATGCTTCTTATATCTGTATATGCAGGTAACTCTTGATGGCTTGAACTTCGATTTCTCGGAAGTTCTTGATCGCTTGAAGTGAGTCTCCAGTCCCGATTTTTTCCACTATATAACTAAGCAGATTTGCTCTTGATTTCTCGAACTCCTGATCTCTCGAAACCCTTGATCCCTGTGAATTTTACCCTTGATACCTTGAAGTGGCTGTGTGTATACCAAGTTATAATGTTCAAACTCTTGCCATAACTGTATATCTGTGTGTCTGTCGGAGTGTCTGTCGTCAACTTAAACCTTCACCATAACTTTAGAACTATACAAGATAGTGGCTTCATATTTAGTATGCATACTCCACTAATGAAGTGCTTTCAAATGGCAGCAAGGACAATGATTATGTGATCTTGACTGTGACCTGTATGCTAAAAAAAATTGCATTTTCGAACTTTGTTGCTGCGTTTCACAAGCGCATCTTGGTTTTAGCTCTACTGGTCAGAGACCATAATAGCTTATGCAATAGAAATGCGTCCGTCCATCTGTCTAGCTGTTTTTCTGTCAGCAAAAAGTACTCCTCCTTAAATTTGAGTTATTTCAATATAACTTGGCACACAAGTAGACTGTACTAAGATACATAATTCTGTGCATCAGTTTTTGATAAGTACAAACCAGTAGAGCTACAGTCTCGACAGAGACTTCTGGTTATTTTTTCTTCCATCCCGGTTGTTGCTAATGCTATTACATAATTAGTTTAAATTAGAATGCAATAGTACCTGGACATAATTTATCATTTCAGAGAGAAGAAAACTGTGTGACTTTAAAAGAAAACTAGTGAGATAAAATCATAGAAAATGTATGATGATTCAGGATGTGGTCATTTGGTTAGTGGTAATTCATTCATGATTAGTATGTATATGACAATTGCCTGAAAAAAAAAGATTCTAAATTTTATTTAAATATTGAACTGTGGTATATCAGCTGTGAGCTACAAGAAGTTTTATGTAAAAGCTAGGGCTGAAACAATTTGCTCCCTCCATGTTATGTGTGTATTGCTATGATTGACATACAATCAGTTCTCTAATACATACACTTCAATAAAACTTTGTCGTCTTGGACCTGAATTGAACAGGAAAAAACTCTGAGATCTCTCCAAAAATTTGAATGAAAAAAAGGAAATGCTTATTAACTGATTTCTTGCTGGTCAGTGTTTTGATTACTTAAAGGAAGCTCTAAAAACTGCACACTAAAGAGTTCTACTTTAATATCAGGTAGTTTTATGAAGTTAGAGTGATCTGCCCATAGATTAAGATTATGAAAAATGTTATTTTACAGTCAGTTAGATTATTTTTAATAGATTAAATTATTTTTAGCATTATTTAAAATAAAAAAAATAGGAAATTAATTATTTTCATAAATTTTTCCAATGTAGGTAAACAGAAATGATTTCTGCTTACAGATAGTCCATTGTCTTTGAAAATTTCTTGGGGAAATGAGGCACATACCATATGTTCTAAATGAATAAAAAAGGCTCATTAGGCCAAAAAAAATTAATCAATAGTTTCTCAGGCACGGCCGCATCAGTTCAAAAACGGCCGCATTGATCAATTTTATTGACATATGGAAAAGGGAAATAACCCAATTTTCTATTTTTCCAAGTTGAAAAAAAAATCGAGTTATTGCCCTTTTCATAAATGCTAAGATAGACATTTTTATTAGAAAAACAATATCTTTCTTCTAAATCTACAGTATTTTATAAGTCAGCTTTGAAATAAATGTTTGGAATAACACTATTTAAATTTGAATACATGTTATAACTAATTTCAGAGAACAAAACTTAAGAATTAGTAGATATCATCATTTTATTGAACAAATGACTTTAAAAAAAGGTGTAGACTACATCCTGCTTCAAAAAAAAAAAAAGCCTGCCTGCCGCATTGATTTTAGATTTTTTTGGCCTGAGAAACAATTTATTAATTTTTTTTGGCCTTATGCACATATTTATATGAAATATGATAGATTTTTTTCTCTTAAAGGAATAATTTCTGCAAGTCACTAAGTTTTTAGAGTTTCCTTTATTTTATAGATATTCAATGAAATTATTTGAAGTATTAAATTTTGGTAAATTTTATGATACTAAAAGCTAGGTTATATGGATGAAAAAACAGCATGCGTGTATGACAATAGGGCTTAAATTTTTAATGTCTCTTAATTTTTCAGTGACATTAAAACAGGAATTGTCATCACCAATAGACGAATTTCACATTCCTAAGAGTTTTCTCCAATTGTCGGTGTATCGCTCATTTTTCCCACTTTGTCCTTTTTAAGTTACTTGTTAATATTTTCAATCTTCAAAAATATTGGACAATTACGATCTGTATCTGTATTGCCAGAGTATGGGGGCAACATGAAAATCATAATGAATATGTTCATACAGATTTTATTTCTAAGATATTGTCCCTCAAAGTTGGTACGGTTAAAGAGGGAAAACAGCGTCTTAAGCCGGTTGACCCCAGATCGACCCTGCGAAGGGGAATAACTTTTGTAAATGTGAAAGTCCTTTATGGTATATCATATAGATCTAAAACTGACTGAATTTTGATCAGCCAATTCATGAACATGATGAATGGATGTAAATAATGTTGGTCAATATATGTAAAAAAAAAAAAATTAAATTACTTGTTTATATATATTACATTTGTGGTATCTCTCCCATTGAAGTTTATAAACTTGTTATTTATTTCTAAAATAAACTGAGCGTACATGCAATACCGGTATAGAATTACTCATAAGATACATGTATACTTAAACCATGATAAAATCATATGTGCCCAATGCAGCATATGATAAATCATTAACATACAAGTACATGTGTATATATACTGTAATACATATATATTGCATTATTTTTAGGTCCTGTTCTGTGGATGCCCTAAGACAGTGTCTACCCATCACTCCATCTGAAATCACTTGTTCTTCGCATATTTCTCTCTCAAACTTTAACTACAGAGACTGAGAGCCTGTGGATAGAGGATGAAGAGTGACCTTGGACTAATTTTCTAGGTCAAAGGTTAGTATCAAAATCTACTGTATATCTTTATTTAAAATCTGGTGTAATCTAGCTTTTGTGCAATGGGATGGAGGGTCTGCAATGATCTTCAACCAATTTCTAGGTCGAATATCAAAATTTAAAAAAAAAATCTCCCCCTAATATTTTTGTTATTATAAAGGGTATGTTTTCTCTCAAACTAATCAAACTTAAAGCAGGGTTCTTAGTATGAGATACATGGAGTAATATATTCTCAATGACATAATAAGGCTGAAAACATTATTTATATTATGTTATTTTTTCATAAAGCATTAAATATTAAAGAGATACATTACCGGTAAATGCTGAAATCATTGTCATGGAAAGTAATTATTGATATTGGTATATTAAAGGACATTGACTGATCTCTCAGATTTCTAAGTTATATTCAAGCATTATAATTCTGACATCATATAATAATTTTGTATGAATATTGCAGATAATAGGTGATGTGAAGAAAACCAGGAAACTGATGTTGAAAGAAGTACTTAATGACCCTTATGAATGGACTTAAATGTGAAAGACTGTTCCATTGTTTATCTAAGATATATGAATTTATTTAATATTTTGATATCATTGAAAAATTCAGTTACAGTTTTTGTACATCAAATGAATTTATTAAACATATAAAATGGTAATGCTTTTTTCTTTTACATGTAATAAATTTTTTTGATAGATTTTTAAAAGAATACCCATTATTTCACATTGCTTCCTTTAGAAAAGTTAGGGAATCTTGAAGTTTCCCAGTAATTTCCACCAGGAATGGGACTCTAGATAATTCCACCAAGTTTCCGCCACACAGAAAGTGCTACAAAAGTTCCACATAGTTTCCTGAGTCAAGGAAACTTCAGGAATCATAAGGTTTTACGAGCTTCCATGTAGTTTCCCATAAAAGAAAACCTTAAGACTCCATCAAGTTTCCATTCCACGGAAACCACTACGCTCATATTCCATATGGTTTCCCGAGTCGAGGAAACTTTAGGAATCGTGAGCTTTCCCGAGCTTCCATGTAGTTTCCCGTATAAGGAAACCTTAAGATTCCATCAAGTTTCCATTCCACGGAAACCACTACGCTCCGATTCCATATGGTTTCCTGAGTCAAGGAAACTTTAGGAATCGTGAGGTTTCCCGAGCTTCCATGTAGTTTCCCGTAAAAGGAAACCTAAAGATTCCACCAAGTTTCCATTCCACGGAAACCCCCTACGCTCCGATTCCATCAAGTTTCCTGATTCTGGAAACCAGTGGAATCTTCAGGTTTCCCATTACGGGAAACTACATGGATGTTCGGGAAACTTCAGGTTTACAGAGGTTTCCGTGGTACGGGATACCTTATGGAATCGGAGCGTAGGGGGTTTCCGTGTCACGGAAACTTGGCGGAATAACCTAGCATCCGCTACGGAAACCACTGGGAAACATGATGTAAACTTGAGGTTTCCATGTGGTTTCCATAAAGTTTCCCATGATGGGAAACCACTTTTTTCACCCAGTGTTATACACTCGGGTCATGGAATTTCGCCTCGTCGCTTCGAGGTTTTTTACTCTTTTCTCCCCGACGGATGCATGTCATGTATCAATTCTAGTATGAAAAGAAGCAGGAAACTTACCTTGTTTAGACCTGTATCATGATGGAATCCAACTATGAAAACATACTAAATAATCCATGAAAATATATAAGTCCCAAAGTACAAATCACACACAATTTCAGTTCGCCATGATATTTCGGCTCTCGCCATCGAGGTGCTCTCTTAAACGTCCGTAATTTGTGCATAAATACAGACGCTCGCCAGTAGTCGGCGTCATTCGTTAGTACCAGTTTTCGGTGTACGTGTGCAATGGCTTCAGGAAATCTTCCCAATTTTTCTTTGATTAACCAAGAAGATCTACAGAATTTCTACTTGATTGAGGGATGTGAGGTGCTTGCCTGCTGGATAGTGAGGGACATCACAACCCACCGGGAACTGGCCAGATGGCCTATCGCCACTCTGGGCCTGGCCAGTGATCTACGGAGGCAGCAGCGGAGAGGACGGAGGCACAGAAGAAGAATACTGACCCCATACAGACGGGCAGAACAAGACCATGAGGGAGAAGATGAGGGATCGGGTGGATATTCAGCCCCATTGAGCAGTCCGGAGGCCTACCGGAATCCTTCCCCCCCCCCCCCGCCTGGATACTCACCGAGGAGCCCGTCCCCTCCTTCACGAGCATCTACCCCCACCTGGTCCCCAAGTCAGATGCAGGGAGCGTCCGGATGATCAGAGACGGATTGGTCACCCCCAGTGAACAACCAGTGGGCAACGACCAGTGAATCTGAGGAGGAACAGCGGTCAACCCCACCCCCAGCAGTCAGGGAACCAGAGGTACCGAGGGGCCCAATTCCGGTATGGGGGATTAAGGTCGCTGTTTCCCGGATTGACCAGTGCTCGGTGTGCCTCGAGGAGGACCAGCTATCAAACTATGTGTGTGCAGAGTGCCGGAACAGGCCCGCCTGTTTCCGGTGCTCTAAGGTACTGGTCGCCCAGACCTCACCCCCGGGATGTTGTCCGCTATGCAGACGCCGGCGTCCTAGCAACTTGCCCCCCCCCCCCCCCCCCCCCCGCGGAGTGACAGGCTTAAGACCTCGGCCTAGAAGACCACCACCCCCAGTTCCCGCTAGACCGGACTTCATGGAGCCGTTGACCGGCAACCAGAGACCACCCCTCTCTGAGAGACGGGAGTTCTGTGGAAGAGGCAGGCCTCACAGGGAATAAACCCTGTATAAAAAATACTACCCAACGGCCGTTTTCACGGCCACCCAAATGTTTAGAAAAGATGCCTTCTATACAGAGGTAAATAAGAAACGATTTATGTCTAAGAAAAGAGTACCATGGTGATAAGAAACATGTTGTGTCTAAGAAAAAAGATTATCTTTTTTAAAAGTACAGTCAAAGAAACGATTGTGTCTAAG